ATGGACCACGCGTCAGGGGCAGAAAAACGGCCGCTGACCACATGGCAGGGCGGAAAAATGGCCGCGGACCACGTGTCAGGGGTGGAAAAACGGCCGCGGACCACGTGTCGGGCAGAAAAACAGCCACAGACCACGTGGAATGGGCGGGAAATGGCCGCGGACCACGTGGCACGGGCGGAAAAATGGCCGCGGACCACGTGGCACGGGCGGAAAAATGGCCGCGGACCACGTGGCACGGGCGGAAAAATGGCCGCGGACCACGTGGCACGGGCGGAAAAATGGCCGCGGACCACGTGGCACGGGCGGAAAAATGGCCGCGGACCACGTGGCACGGGCGGAAAAATGGCCGCGGACCACGTGGCACGGGCGGAAAAATGGCCGCGGACCACGTGGCACGGGCGGAAAAATGGCTGCGGACCATGTTGAACGGGCGGAAAATGGCTCGTAAGTCAAGGTGAGTTCGTAAGTAGAGGTAAATTTTTGGGGCCGGAGCTGATCGTATCTCAAAAATTTCGTAAGTAGGGGCGTTTGTAAGTAGAGGTACCACTGTACTTGTGCAGATTAGTAATGTTGAGATGGAGATGCTTATTGAAATCATACTCATTTGCATAAGGAAATTTTCCAGAAAACCCACATCTTATGCAGACTAAATATTGTAGTGAATATGTTCATTGCGATCATATTTACTTGCATGAAGTTTTTTTCTGAAAAATGTTTACAAAATATACATCTCTGAATCCTGACCTTCATCATAGGAGTGCAAATCAAGGTTCCTTACACAGCCACATTGATTTGCTGAAGACTTCCAATCAAGTTTGTGGATGAGCTAGGCTTTACCATCTATGTTTCATATACAGGTGGTGTCGTCTGGGCTTTATACTGGTTTTATATAAAGGTTTATAAGAGAAGGTTTCTCTTTCAAACCTTCTGCTTTTGTTAAGGTGATTGAGAACAAATAGGGTGCTAGAAATCCAGATGAACATGCACAACTTCAGAGACATTATGTATTACACATTTCTGTATCTCTTTTCCACCAAATCAAAGTTTAGACAAATGAAAGCTAAGATGATTAAGGATATTAGATTCTGTGTCCACTGCCAATTTTATGGAGTGCTATATCTCCAGTTGGACAACATAGTCCATTGGGTAAAATGGAATATTTGATTCTATAAGTAAAAGAAACAGTGCTGGTTTCCATGTGTATAGCTACAGTACTTTTCACCCTAACCTTCCTAGGACTGTTTTATCCAGCATAAAGCAGTTTCAGCTTGCATTTTATCTGAAAATATGCTATGTATGTTCTTCATTTCTGGCAATTTGGTTAAGCTTTGGCAGAAGAGATTCACCGTCTGTGATAACACAGCTAAAATGTGTGGGGTGGCATTCATCAGGAGATATTCTGAGGAGATGGTGGTACAAGTCACGGTAGCCTTTTTCAAGTCTTATATTCCTATCATTTATTGATTCTAGATATATCCCAATTTTCAGCTAAGATTAGTTGCTGAAGCAGTTTTGAAGTCTTCCGAAAGCTACAGAATCATCAAAAAACATTCCAGTATGAGTTACAGTCTTGTCTGTCATTTGGCAGTGCAAGCAAGATACTACTGTAGAGAAGGAAAAGCAAAACTGCAGATGGCAATTGTGGTGTTTGAAGGGGAAGTGGGCTGACTGATGGTTTTTTTTAAATGCCAACCCACGGAAGCAGCTGTTGATTGAAGGTGTCTAGAAATTTGATTTTTTTTTAATGTTCTCTTAGGAAGCTGCACAAGAATCACATTCTGTCTCAGATGCCAGTGTTTGCATGTAATTTCATGTGAAACTACCTTCTAGTGAGTTAGACCATTGATTACACCAGTATTGTCTATTATGATTGGTCGAACGCTGTCCATGGTCTCAGGCAGAAAGCAAAATAAATTAGTGATAATATTAACAAGGGTCTTTATCATAGTTGGAATAATTGCTGCATCAGTTGATTGAACACCACCCATCTCACGAGGAAATGACTCTGGGCGGTTTACGTAAGAACTTTCTTCCAAAACTAGATCTAATTGAATCACAGTGTGGAAACTTCTGTACCAGCCAATAGAACTCAGTGACACCAGTGGCCTGTTAATCACAATGGATGTGTCTGAAAAGGTCATTTTTCTTGCAGTCTGTGTGAAAGGGGACATTTCTGAACCAGACATAGAACTGATTTTGTAACTGGACTACCCTGAATCACTTTGAACATTCTGATGATAGAGATGACTACTATTGCTTTTCAAGATAATTTGAGCATTGAATTTAATTTATTTGGGTTCAGTGTGAGTCCTTGTTGGAGCAGATTTTCTCATCCATCATAACTGAGTGCCCTCCAGAATATTTGCAGTACAGTTCCCATAGACCCAGCCAGTATGTAGAATGAAGCGGGATGATAGAAATTATCACCCCAAATCTTGGGGCAGGCTACTACTTACCAATCTCATGAGTGTTATACTGGGAAGGCAGGAGAACCCACATATTTTACCACATGGAACATGGAGAAAGCTTATAAATGTAATAAAAAAGCATTGTATTGTACTTGCCATCCCACATTGCTTCTCTAGCTTTCCTTCCAATGTTTGAGAATTGAAGGGAAGTAGAGCAATCAGTCTTTAGCCAAAATTAATGCTGAGTAGATCTTCCTGTTATCAGGAAGCCTTGTTCCAAGTTATCAAACCTTGGGACTGCAACTTCCAAAAGGAAATGCTAACTGGGAATTTTGGGAGAAGCCTAGAGATCCCCAGACTGGGGAGAGGCTGTTCAATTTGCTCTTTTCCAAAATTGATGGATGTTGAACTTGTTTCAGGTTTTGTTAAAGTTCCTTACTATAATGCCTTAAAGTGCTTTAAATAGAGGTGGCTCTGTGTTCCCAAGCAGGATGAAGAATAATATGCTTAAAATGGCCTTGCCTTCCCTTTATACTGACATCCTTATTAAATTATAACTTTTCCAACATATATATTTAGAAAAGTGTCCCTGAAATCAGTGCTCCTATTTATTTGATTTCAGTGTCCTCATGCATATTATGGTCTGTGGTCACTTTCACTTCTCTTGTATCATCTTCAGGTTATTTGTTGGGGATTTGAAATTTTAGAGCTGGAAACTAAATTGAAGAAAACGGAAAGGGGCGGAAAGAGGAAGAATGAGCCACTGTGACTCATTCCTTAGAAATGTGGGCTTCCTTCCTTTTGAGGTTGAAGAATGTTGGGGACCAAGCAGGGCAGGGGATTCCAGGAAGTTAAGGATAGTTTGGGGGCAGATCCCGCAATCTACACAATTTCCGCTTTCTGTTGCTCTTACCTCCCAACTTCTTTTCCACCCACCCACCCACCCTTGGGAATTTTTGCTTCCGGGCCTTAATTGTCCTAGAAACAATTCTGACAAACGGAGAGATTCACTGGAATTGCTAAGGTTACTTGGCTGGGAGGAGAAGACAATTTTTGTGTGTTCTGTTAAGCTGTGGGAGCAGGAGTTAAGAGATGAAATTAGTCCATAATATAGGAAGTTCTGTGCATTTGGGCAAATGTTCTTGTGTTGTGGCTGAAGCATTTTACTTGGCCTCTGGTATGAAGGCTTCAAAACTTATTTTCCCATTTTTGTCTTATTCGTCTATTTTTTCCTGTTTTTTTTTTTTTCCTGGGGCTTCATATATCTCAGTTATGGAGGTTCCAGTTCAAAGCCCTGCTCAGCTGCAGAGTTTAATGGGATGATCCTAGGCCTTTTATAATGTGTTCTGAGGCCTACTTCACAGGGTCATTACAAAGATAAAAGTAAGGGACCATATATGTTTCTGTGAGGCTTTTGAGGAAAAGCAAGATGCCATTTTAAATAAGCTGCCAAAATTGCAACTTTACTGAGATGCCTGCTAGTGTTCTGACCATAGAAACCTGGCTGGAAGACAGGCTATGTTGCATTGGATAGAAAGCAAATGGGGGAAAAATAGGTAGCCTGATTGTATGGTTCTTTCTCTCCTCCCCCCTGCCCCGCCCGCTCCCCACTTCCAAATCTTACAATGCCTGGGAGATGTAAGACTAGCCAGTTTTTCTTGGGAAAGGAGCAAATAAAGGGTATTTGGCAGTGAGGACTGTGTCCCTATGTGCCCATGCCCCCAGAACATCTTTTGCCAGTTGTCACTGCTAAAATACCAGACAGATGGACCTTTGTTCTGATCCAGAATAAGAAATTCTTTTCTCCTTCTGCTGTTCAGCTACAACTGGTTTTTGGAGGCTGTTGCTTATAACCCAGAGAAAACATTGAGACTTTCAGACTCATAGGCCTTGATAGAGATGTCCTCCAAGAATTTATCCAATCTGTTTTTAAAGCGGTTGAACACCAGAAATAGAGAATGTAGCGTCCAAAATGCCACATTTTTGTTTTATTTGCTTTTAAAGTTTCTAGTTCTCAAGGCTGTGCAGAAAAGCTTAAGTGCAAGTTCAGCTCAATTTCCAGGAAAGAGGAAGGGGCTGAGCACAATTTTGTTGGCCTGAAGGAGGTCCTGGTTAGGAGCTGTACAGAATTCTTTGTCCTTTTCTTTCTCCTAGATGACAAGTTAATTTTTGCATCAGGTCTAGTCTTTTCACTACTCTTGATGCAGAACTTAAAGCTAGCTTGGAAGGGAATGTTTGGCTTTTGCCAAGTTCTTAAAGAAAGTCCTAAAGTAAGGGCCTTTAATCCAAAATTTGAATAATGTTCTGAAAGTGAGCCACTCCCATGTTCTGGGACCTGATTTTTATATTTAAAAGTTTGGATTCATCCAAACCACACACAGGAGCAGGGATGATGTCTTTGATCCCAGGTTGAAGTTTTTCTCTTTCTTTTTCAGCTGTGTCTCGGAATGGCTGTTGTGCCCAGATGGATACTCAGAGGGTGCATGACCAGCTAGGGACTGCAGGCAAGTGGCACAGAAGCAAGAGCAGTGGCCTGCCTCTTGCGAAGCAAGCTAGGTTCCATTCAGACTGGATATGCAGGATTCACTGTCTTAAGCAATTGGTTAAGTTTGATTTGCTTTAACCTGGAGAGCCCTTTTGCCCACCATTAGCCTGGCTTATTTCAAAGCCATCAACAGGAAGCTTGGATTATAAGTCTGCTCTCTCCCATCCTCCACTCTACCACCACCATGTCGACTTCTTCACTGCGCCGCCAGATGAAGAACATTGTACATAATTATTCTGAAGCAGAAATCAAGGTTCGTGAGGCTACGTCAAATGACCCTTGGGGCCCATCTAGTTCTCTCATGTCTGAAATTGCTGATCTCACCTACAACGTGGTAGCCTTCTCAGAAATCATGAGCATGATCTGGAAGCGTCTCAATGACCATGGGAAAAATTGGCGTCATGTCTATAAGGTAAACATGCATCGTCTCTTGTTCTTGGAAAGTGAGCATACCATAGTTCTGTGGTAACAGCGCTCTAATCATTCTGTTTTGTTTTTTCATAGCCATTCACTGTTAAGTCTGTCCATTCCATTCCCACATTGTTCTGCAGATATCTTATTAAGAAAGTGCAGTAGTAATTCATATGTATTTTGGTGTGCATTTTATTATAAAAGGCATGCTTCTTGTACACATGCCACACAGTATTCAGAAGAATGAACATGTACATTCCAATCTGCATTCTTCATCCAAGAAGTGCAAACTGTGTTAATTCATTCCCAAATGCAGACTAATTCTAAAGCATGCCTATACACCTGGTCCCAAATTCAGGCCATGACATCTTCAGTAAAGGCTGGAAAGGCCTGAAACCCTGGAAAGCTTCTAAACTAGGGCTGGACATCTTTTGGTAGCCAAAGACCACAGTTAATGCTTGGTGGGTGAGGAGTTAAGTGGATGGGATTCCATCATGCATGTGTATAGGACTGAATTTGGAGAGAGTTTTATGGGGGTTCTTTGATTTTTAATTAGAGCTTCCAAAACAATATTTTTCTTATCCACCTCAAATGGCAGGAAATTATGTTGCCATTTTTCAGCATCGTGTTCAGAAGGGCTTCCAAGATTGCAAGAAGGGTTCCCAGGGCTTGGGTACAGCCCTTTGATGTAGACTATATTGAACTAGATGGGACAATAACCTGTGTTCCTTTACACGCCTGCTTTAAATATATGAAGCATATTTACTTAGCAAGGCTGAGTAAAGGATATTGCCCGAGTCTTTGTGAGTTATTTTCAGTCAAAGTTGAATGTCCTGTGTTAAGTGGAGCATAAAGTGAATTTCATTAGTTGGAGCAGGCAACCATTTAACCACTATATGTTGATGGAGTATAATTCCTATTGGCACCGACCATCATGGCCAGTAGCTGGGGATAATGGGAAATGTAGTGTTGAGAAAGGCTGTTTTGCACGAAGAATGGGGAAGCTGGTGATTGAGCTACAATTTTCTGGAGCCTTTGCCATCATGGATAGGATAGTGGGAGAAGTAGACCAGCAACATTTGGAGGTATACAACTTGGCCAAATGTGTTTCTTCATGTTTCCCCCTTTTTCCTGGTGCTTTAGTGGTGGGCTATCTTGTTGTTTACAGAGATATTCTGGAGAAACTGGTGGCTATTGACAACAAGTCAAGGAGTTGCAATTCGCTGTCTGATCTTTGTTGGACCTGGTTCCCATCTGGATGAATCATTTGTTTATTATTCCTGTTTAAATCCATGTTCTCTAAAATGCGGTACAGGTACCCTCTGGAAACACAGAAGCTGCAAAAGATGCTGGGTCTGTGCTAATCTCAGTCCACCTTTTTTATCATGTCAGTCCTTACCATGTACTATTCTGCTTCTAATATTCAATCTCCTTCCCTAGAATAAACATTTCTGAGATTCTGGTTTTCACCTTTATGATCTAAGCATGTCATGAGTCCGTTTCTTCTTGCATCTCTTCCAGGCCATGACACTGATGGAATACCTAATCAAGACAGGTTCAGAGCGGGTTGCACAGCAATGTAAGGAGAACATCTATGCCATCCAGACACTAAAAGATTTCCAGTATGTTGACCGGGATGGCAAAGATCAAGGAGTCAATGTGCGGGAAAAGGCCAAACAGCTGGTGGCCCTCCTCAAAGACGATGAGCGCCTCAAAGAAGAGCGGGCCCACGCCCTCAAAACTAAGGAGAAACTGGCCCAGACTGCAACTGGTGAGTGCTCCAGGCCTTAATCTAGCTGATATTGTTCTCCATGTTGTCCAAATCTGTAGCTCCTCCTCCAGGTGATTCTGCTGTGTAATGATGACAAACTAGGTCATGACCACCCAGCCGTGAGATTCTTTGGACCAGTCCCTGTGTGTTTTAGCCTATCTATTTCATAGGGTAGGACAGAACCACACTGTTCCTTTGGACAATGGGAAAAATAATGATTAAGTAGCAAGCTGTCAGCCATACATCAGTTGTCAGGAAGGAGAGACATTTTCCCTTCAGTTCACCATATTTAATGTGTGTATTTTGGGCTCTAGGATGCTGCAATCATCTTTAACACTTTGGGTAGAAATAGTAATACAGGTAGTCCTCATTTAGCAACTGCTACATTTAGCAACCATTCGCAGTTACGACGGTGATGAAAAAGTAACTTTGCAACGAATCCTCGCATTTACAACCTTTGCAGGTCTATAAAGCAAAGGAAAGCTGAAATAAATCATAAGCGCAGTCACAGTTTCACTTAGTGACTGCTTTGTGTAACCACCAAGTTTCTGGTCCCAATTGTGGTCACTAAACGAGGACTACTTGTATATGGCCTGAAGGCCAGAGCCATCACCCGGAGCAGTCTTAATTTCATTAAATACCTTTGTTTCTCATTGTATATGGAAAAACAATGGTGCCTCTATGTGTGTGGTATAAATACTGTTATGTTTAGCTTGGAGAAGAGAAAGAATGAGAATAGAAATTGGTGATCAGATCAGTGTTATGCTCTCTGCATCTGCAAAACATGTACTGATACTGGAGCAAGGCACTGACTGGGGACGCATATGGACCACCTTTCTGGATAAGGCTGTCCAGGTCTAGTCAAAAACCTGAAGCAAGACCACTAGGAGTTGTTATGTATGTGCTACAGTTTCATCATGAAGAAAACTTTGATATAATTATGCTATTTTATGTTAGCAGTCTCTGCGAATGATACTCTGTACCCCTAAGACCACTGCATAAAAAATAGTTACCCCCTACAAAACACAGACATCAGTCGTTCCCAGACAGCAACTCTTCTCATTCTGGTTCCTCCAGTTGTGATATGATGGAACCGTAACTTGCAGAATTCTCATATTGTTTTAACAGCTATAGTCCAAATGTATTTGGAAAGTTCCTGATTGTGCAAAATGAAATAAAGTGATAGGGTGATCCACTGGAATTTGCAGAAGCTGGATCGTTTTAACTGTTTAGGTTGAATTATGAGGATGTTTGAAAAATCTAAACCTGGCACTTGTCTCCAGCGGTCTTTTCTAGTTGGGGACAGTGTGAAGTCACCATATGAAGACATTGGTGTCTGTCTTGATCACGTTTATTTCCATTTTCCTGAAATTATACCTACAGAAAGGCTTGCCCCTGGTATAACTCTCACCAGCTTGGCAGGTTGCCAGGCTCTGAGATTGAGTTACAGGCCTCCTTGATCTGCTGGTGCCCCTTTTCCATATCAATAACCTCTGGATCAAATTCCACCACATTTGTTTGCACAACGTCTGGTGTGGCAGGTTCAGATTAAAAAAAAAAAGCAGCTTTTGCTTCCTGTTGTAACCATTTCAGCAGAAATACAGGGAATTGGAGAATTGTTAGAGAGAATACAATACAAAAAGGAAGGAGGGAATATCCCCCCACACACACACACACAAGATTCTGGACCTGCAGATAGACTTTTAACCATATTTGGCCAGAGAAATATCCCAAGCAGTGGCCTGTACTTAAAATCAATGAGCAACCTGATATGTGCAGTGTTAGCACTCCTACTCCCTTTGACTGAAGTACAGTACATAAATGAAGATAAGAAAGTTGCCCTTAGCACACTAATTCATGAAACAGCAAGTCCACCCTAACGCTCATAAATTAAGTTTCTTGGGTGAGTTTGTGGGGGAAGGGAAAAACCAAAAGTTATACCATCCTTTTGGACAATGGGAAAAATGATTAAATAGCCAAGCTGTCAGTCGTATATCAGTTATCAGGAAGGAGAGAAATTTTCCCTTGAGTTCACCATATTTGTGTCTATATTTTGGTCTCTAAGATGCTGCAGTCTTCGTTAACTCTTTGGGTATAAATGGTAAAATAGTGGTGTGAAGGCAGAGCCCTCACCTGGAGCAGTCTTCATTTCAAGAAACACCTTTGTTTCTCATTTATATGGAAAAACAGTGGTGTGGTATAAATATTGTCATCTTATGCTTAGCTTGGAAAAGATAAAGGATTAGAATAGAAAGTGGTGATCATTTTGTATCAGTGTTAGGCTCTCTGTATCTGGAACTCTAAACAGGAGAAGGGTGAACAACATTTCAAAAGTAATTCCTGTTTAAAATAACTTCATTTGGATGCCCTCAAATTCTCAATTGAGTTTATAGATGCTAAGCCAAGGGTTCTCAAATTCTGGGTCAAGTCATTTTTCTTCCTACTTCCTTTTCTAATTAGAGACAGGATCCTATGAATGGCAATAATACTGTATTCTTTATGTTATAGAATACTATTTTGAAATGATATTTTAAAATCTTTTGCATAGTATTTATTTTACAGAACCTTTAAATTGATCTGTTAAAATCTCTTGTTATATCAAAAACGTCAATGAAGTGATTGATGGTTTTGATATAAAGCCTAATATATTTAATGGATTGGAATTTATAACACAAATAAAGTAGAGAAACTCTCATTTCTGCAGTGCATAACAATTTAGAACTATTGATCATTGGCAAACTGTTATAAGGTATTGAGGATCCACTGACCACCATAGTTGAATTTCGCTTTCTTGGAAATACTTCTTTGGCATCTCCAGTGGTTTGGCTTGTAGTAGTAAATCCATAGTTTTTGAAGTAGTTGTAGTTATGTGCTAGTGAAGTTCAGTATTTTTTTTTAATTCCTACCTTTCCAAATGGAAATGTTTTTATTGAGTAGTAAGTGAAAAGCTAATGTGCTAATAAAAGTTAGCCTAAGTCAAGAAAGTATGTGAAAGCTGCGTATCTTTTGGTTTCACAACTTTTTTTGTTACTGGAGAACAGCTCACTGGTTTTTGTCAGAAAATATTGTTGAGAACATGAAGCCAACAAAACTAAAGCAACGTCTGGAAACAAGTTGTGCAAAGAAGTAGTAAGGTTCCGTAACTGCTTCATTTGTTATACAATTTAAAATGTAATTATTAAAAGTAAGTGGTTCATGTTATTTCTTGCCCCCCCCCCGCAGTGGTTCATATTATTTCTTAACCCCCCCAAAAATCATGGGGGTAGTTTAAACAAATGTATTTTATTTTTATTTATTTTAGAAATGTATAACACTGCCCAGCTCTATAAAGATTCTGGGCAGCATACAGTAAAAACAATTAGACAAATCAGACAAACGAACAGTAACAACGAAATCCTCACACAAAGACCAGAAGAAAAACAACAGTTAAAAAACCATCAGACACCCTGCCCACTCTGTCCAAGGCCTGGGGAAAGAGCCAGGGTTTCAGAGCTCTTTGGAACATGGCTGGGAAAGCGGGGGTGGTGGTGGTTTATAAATAATTGATTTATGATTTCAGAGGATCACACTATTGCAGAGTTTGAGATTCCCTGACTGCTGAGCTCTAGTGTTTGTTTGGTTTTGGCTTGGTGTGTTGTATGAATCCAGCCACTCTGGCTTATAAATCATAGTTTATGGCTTAACATTTATATGTGAATCAAATCAGGATAGCTAGCAGCCTGTTGAGGCACCATAGTTAGAACCACCTTCTGCTCATACTTGTAGGGTTTGGAATCTATGATCTTTTCTGGTGGACTTTCCTATTAAGGCGGAAGGGTGAATGGAGCCATGCAGTGTTTTTCCTTAACAGGCAGTAACAGTTAACTTCTGTGAGGTTTAAAAGATAAGACCTAATAGGTATTGAGCCATGGTGGGCAGTCTGCAGCCCAAAATTCTTTTTTGTAGCCCCTGTATCAACTGATTTTGGCAGCTCCATTATGAAAGTGGTATGGTTTCTTTTTTGCAGCAGAAGAGTCATCACTATTCTGGAGTGTGCTCCATATAGTTTTAAAAAGCAAAAAATCTCCATTCTCTGTCCTAAAAGAAATAAATACAGACAAACAACGTGAAAACACAGCTCGACCCACTTTGTGCCTTTGTCCCATCCACTGTAGTTCTTGCTCCTACCAAAACCATTTTAAGTATGGCCCCAGGTCCAGCGATGGGGCTGCCCTTGAAGACCATCTGGAAGCTACAGCTGCTTCAAAATGCAGCCGCGCGAGAAGTAACGGGCGCCTTTCGGTATGCCCATGTGTCACCACTGCTACATGAGCTGCGTTGGCTGCCAGTTGGCTTCCAAGTGCAATTCAGGGTGCTGGTTATTACCTATAAAACCCTGTATATCAAAGGGCCTGGAGTGACCACTTTTTTCCCATCGTTTCTGCCTACACGGTACATTCCGACAGAGTGGGTGCGCTCCAGGTCCCTTCTATTAAACATTGTCATCTTGTGAGACCGAGGAAGCATGCCTTCTCTGTTGTGGCCCCCACCCTCTGGAACAGCATCCAGAGATAAGGATGGTGCCTTCTCTCCCAGGGCTCCGTAAAGCTCTGAAAACCTGGCTTTGGTCCCAGGCCTGAGACTGATGTATTATTGTTTGTCTAGGGCCCCTGTCTTGTTTGATTTTTGTTGTCTGTAAGATTATTTTAGTCTGGGCTGTTCATTTGGTTCAATGTTTTTATTTTTATTTTTTTATGGTTTTTTAATGGTGGCTAAACTAAGTAAAAAAACAAACAAACCCAACTCTGCCCTACTTTGTCATTCCAGAAACCCCGACATAGATAATCCAGAAAATATGGACTGTTCATAGTAAGCTTCATGGCTGAACAAAAATGTGAAGCAGAGTCTTTAAGTCTGTCCAGCCCTCTCTAGGGACAGGCAGCTTCAAGCCTGGAAATGCAGTCTTTTGTTTTCACTGGACCCAGATGCAATTTAAAGCTTAGGAAACAGAGACATGCCGTACAGCACACACTGGGATAAGCTCAGTCTTGAAGGCATTCCTGTGTGGTCAGTCTTTTAGCTATTGCTGTAATTACTTTTTATTCCTTCAATTGTTTTGATTACTTCTTATTGTTTTGATTTACTTTTATCAATTTTAGGTGATTTTAAGGGTTTTCTTTGGCCTTTGAATCATCTTATAAACCTGTACTTAAGACTCTGTAGCTGCAGATGATAAGCATAGGAGAAATGTAATGAATAAATTGTAAATAAATATGCAGTACTACATGAAAGTTACCACACTGTGCATGGATTTGCTGTAAAATTGATCAAAGGCAATCACAAGGGGCACTAAGGTGAAAAGCTGTGTGTTATTTGCAATTGTTCAGTTGCTGGGAACCAGGAGAAATATCTGTCAATCACCGCCTCCTTTCTACCTACCTGCAACACCACACCACAGATTGCTTTGGTCCTTCCAATGGGGTGGAAAAGACCTGCATTCTGGACCAACTGTCTCCTGTCCTGTTCTCCTTTCTCAGCTTCTTCTGCTTCATCGTCTTTGGCAAATGCCCCAGTAGAAGCAGAGCAAGCTTGGCCCCAGAGCAGCGGGGAAGAGGAGCTACAGCTACAGTTGGCACTGGCCATGAGTAAAGAGGAAGCGGAGCAGGTAAGCACCAAGGTAAATCTGTCACTGGAGGCTCTTTGGATGCGTGGAGGTGGGGCAAGGAATGAGGGGAATCCTCATTGTCTGGTGGGACATAAAATACTGTATATCTCAACGGAAGGGCTGTTAGTTGGTGTGCAAGTTCTCTTCTGGATCTGTTGAAGCTTAAAGACTCTCATGTAGGAGAATATAAAAGTTAATTAGATCAGGAATGCTATTTTGATTTGGGACCATCCTCCTATTTCTTTGTAGGAAAAACATCTCCAGAAGTCTCCTCTCCCAACCTCACAGTCTAGCAGTTGCTGGCTGAAAAATTGGGCAGCTGCTACAGCTGCAGTCTTGCCTAGATTACTCTAGCCCAGTGTTTCTCAACCTCATCAACTTCAAGATGTGTGGACTTCCACTCCCAGAATTCCCCAGCCAGCATTTGACTGGGGTTGAGAAACGCTGCTCTAGCCCGTGGAGAGCATCAGAAATGGGGCCTGCAAACTTTTAAATGTTGTTTCCTTGTTTCTTTTCTCCACACTTGGGAGTGATGTCGTGGACTTTGCACTAGATCTGGCCTCCCACCATAGCTTGATCCCACATGCACCACAAACTTTTGTAATTTTCTACACACTTCATCTTCAGGCTGAGACTAATGCCAGAGATTATTTTGTGGGGTTTACATTTATTTTTTGTTTTTATGGAATGTTGCTGTGAGCTGCCTAGTATTATCATGTATAAGATAATATTGGTGGCCATATAAGTTTTTGAAATAAATAAATTCTTTGTTAATCCCTCCTTTTCAGCCTGAGCAGCATCAAAAGCTTTAAGAGTGCTCCCTTTGTGTAGGACAGCTGGCAAGCCAAGGTAGCAGCCACTGACTCCCCTCAGGCTCTCTGCAGAGACTTCATAGCATCTTGAGGTCTGGTTCCTGAAGGATTGTCTTTCCTAACTTGTCTGCCTAAGCACCTGAGATTATTTTCAAAGCCCACCCCCCATGTCTCTCTCCATCCCCCCATCTTTGGTGAGAAAAATTTTTATGAATAGTAAACCCCAGTTACTCAGTGACTCACCTCCTTCTGATGTTTGTTCAGTGCAAAACAAGTCTTCGAGTTATGACAGTAATTGGGACTGAAATTTCTGTCACTAAGTGATGTGGTCGTAATGTGTGACATCATATGACCACATCACTTAGCAATGGCAATCCAGGCAGTCCCCATTGACGTTGTTAAGCAAATCCTACCTGTTGTTAGGTGAGGGCCCACTCCAATCCAAGCCATTCCTGGCTTGGTCCTTCCCAGCCCCAAGCCTTGGTATGCTAAGGGACTGCCTCCTCTGCCTTCTTTTCAACTCCTCCCACCTGCCTGTCTCTCCCCCATCTCTGCCTTTTTGCCTGCCCTGTACTCCACCGCCTCTACTGGCCCTGCGCTCTGCTTGCCCTGCTGCCCCCAGCTGACCTCTGCTGACTCTTCTTCCCACTGCTGATGAGGTGCACTCAGCCTGGCCCTTCGTGAAGCCACTGCTGGCTGCGCCAGGCCTTCTTCCCGAGGCCATGTGTGGCCTTGTCCAAAGCATCATGAGAAAGCCGCGCATGATTTCTGCCAGCAGGGCTGGCAGAGGCAGTGGAGGGTAGGGCGGCCAAAAGGGCAGAGATGGCAGGAGATAGGTGGGGGAGGGGAGCTGAAGCGCCTCTGTGGTCATAAGTGTGGACAGGCTGCCAAGCACCAAATTTTGATCACATGCTCTCAGGGGTGCTGCAGCGGCCATAACTTCAGGGACCGGACATTACCATTCATTCAGCGCCACCGTAACTTTGAACAGTCTCTGAACAAATGATCATTAAGTGAGGACTATCTGTACTTTTTTTATTTTCTTGGGCTTTTTGATCTTCAACTTTGTCACTACTGTATTGTGCTGTTGCTTTATTAGCAATTAGTAACTATTAGTTTACTTTCAATTTTGCTATGCATTTGTTGTCCTATTGTTTAATTCAAAAAGGCTCCCAGCAGAGCTTCAAAAGATGATAGTGAGACCGTCCCTGGTTTTAGTAGCTTAAAGTTCTAAAAAGGTATTTGTAAATTAATTTGATTTTTTTGAAGGGCATTTTAATCAGCTTTGATCCAATTTGAATAGTCAAATTGATTTTATGCATCGAATTTTCAAATCAGATCATTTTGGAAAATTGATTTGAAATTGCCTTCAAATCATATGAGTTGAGTTGAAGCTATCACAGCCCAACAGTAAAGGGGCTAAAGAGGGGTTGTGTGTAAGTGACCAGTGCCCTACTGAATAATAAATGGACCAAAAACAACAGTGGATCCAAATAAAACAGCAGTAGAACGTGTATGTCACAAGAAGAAAAAAATAATATGGCTTTAGGGAGCCTTTCTCAACCTCGGTTCTGACAGATGCTTTGGTTTAAAAGTTCATCATCTCTGAATATTGATCATGTGGCCTGGGGCTGATAGATGTGGTAGATTACAATGTCCAGAGGGAACTAGATTTGAGGAAGAAATCTTATTTAAAAGGCTGCTTTATTAGGGCAGCTTTCCCTGATTTGATGTCTTCCAGATGTGTTGGAGTCTATCTCCCACATTATGGCTTAGTATTATGTGCAGAACAGACCTATGTTCGCTTGAGGCTGTTGAGAGTCATGGATCTGGTTACATTATTTTTGTATTCATCTACAGTATTTGATATATCATTACAGGCAATATCCTAATGGATCAATACTAATGAATTGGGTTTTTTTCCTGATCAGCCTACCCATATATCTTTCTTTTTAGTTCATTAATTATTTAATTGCCAACCAAGCTGGCACAAAGGTTTTGCCAGTTTCAGTAAACTTTTAGGGAACAGTTATGCCTGCAGGGTAGAGAGAGTTGGGGAACAGAGTTGATACTGTCGGTTCCTTTAGCTGTTGCTCCATGTAGAATATGATCCCTGTTTAAAACTTCTTGACTGGAGCACCTAAGGTGCCAGATAAAGGAGATGGGGTTTGTTTTGAGCATAGCGGAGCTTTAAGTATTTTGTAATACAACTGGTCTCTTCTTGACAAGAATCTTTAGGATAGGGGTTGAGTTGCTATCCACAAATCTTCCAAAGCCATTGGAAGTAAAATCAGTCATGGTATTCTTCTGGACCGGATTCAAGGGGTGGGAATGGGTGGCACGGTGTTGTGCTGGTACTCCTCTTTCCACCAGGGCCGGTTCCAGTTGGTTTGGATAGGGGAGAAGAGGTCCTGCCTGTGGCTCCTGTGTGGGGTGACACAGGGCTCAGTGCTCTCTCCTCTCCTGTTAACATGTACATGAAGCCACTGGGTAAGGTCATCCATTGGTTCGGGGTGAAGTATCATCATTATATGGATGATACCCAGCTATATATCTCCACCCTAGACCATCTGAGTGATGCTGTGAAGGTCCTGTGTTGATGTCTGGATGCTGTGGGCATCTCAATAGGGAACAACAGGCTTCAGCTCAACCCTAGTAAGACCAAGTGGTTTTGGGTTTAAGGACCCCCTGGTTCTGGGGACTTTCCATCTCTTGTTCTGGATCCATCCAATTTGGGGATCTTCCTGGACTCGAGCAGGTGGCAGCCATGGCCAGGAGGAGCTTTGCACAGCTTCATCTTGTGCACCAGTTGCGCCAGTTCCTGGACTGGGAGGCCCTGCTCACAGTCATTCATCCTCAGTCACCTTCCTCTTGGATTACTGCAATGCACTCTACATGGAGTTGTCCTTGAAGAGTATTTGGAAGCCTCAGCTGGGCAATTATGGGTGCTGGTCATTTGGCACATGTGACACCTTTGTTCCACAAGCTGCTTGGCTACCAGTATGCTTCTGGGTATAATTCAAGGTATTGGTGGTTACTTTTAAAGTCCTTCATGGCTTGGGGCCAGATTATCTATGGGACCATCTCTCCCCAGTGGTATCTACCCATCCTGTTAGAGCCAGCAGGAGTGGCATACTCCGAATCCCATCTGCAAGAGTGCCATCTGGTGGGTTCCATGAAGAGAGCCTTTTCTGCTGTGGCGGCCTCTGGAACATCATCCCCCCAGAGATTAGACTTGCCCTGACTCTGCTGGCCTTTCACAAGACATTTCGCAAGCCTGATAGTAGGGGTGAGCCCATTTCTTGGTCACGGTTGTGTTAAATGAGTGTTCTCGGCTGCTATTTTATGTTAATTCTGTTGTTTTTACTATGCTTTTACCCTGTTTTTAACTGTTAGCTGCCCAGAGTCATGCATATGAGATGGGCAGCTATATAAATTTATTATATAAAATGGATGGATGGATGGATGGATGGATGGATGGATGGATGGATGGATGGATGGATGGATGGATGATGGATGGATGGATGGATGGATGATCGGTAGCTGGCCATTCAGCTAGCTGCCAGCTTTTGCTGTGCTATGGCATAGGTAAAAGTTGTCTATGTTTTTTTCAGAACTTATAGTTTGGGAGGAAAGTGCAGAAGAGAGAGGACACACAGCCTGGTTATTTGTCTGACTGACCTTTCCCTGAGGCTTTCTGCCTGAATCCCTATCTCAGAGAGATTGGGACTGCTTCCATTCTCTGTTTCAGGGTTTACACGAACCCCCTTAATGATGTGGTTTTACCTCTCTTTCCTTTGTGGTAGTTTTCATATCCCCTCACTCTCCTTAGAAGTCTGCTTCCTCCACAGAATGGACCGGTCTTGGAAAAAGACGTGCTGATTCACTTTGCGTAGGTGAAACGAAGCCCCACACTCTGTTCATGATAATTAATTCTCCTTAGGACTGCTGCCATCCAGCCACTGTTCATTTCCATCACTGAGCTCAGAGTGGTTGCTCCCAGACTTTCAGCGTGACACTCCAAGCATTAACCTCCTTCCCAGTGCTCTCTTGTCAACTCCTTCCCATTTTTGTGGCTCCTTCCAGATGGATTTGATCCATTCTGTTCACTCCCTCCCCCTCAATAACCCCATCCCACCTTGTTGTCTTTTGTTTTCAGCTCCTTGTTTATTTTTGGCATCTTTTTTCCCTTTCCCTTGACCCCCCCCCCACGCCGCATTTCCTCCCACTCTACCCTGTTGTTCATAAACGGAAAGCAGATAAATTAATTCTACAGAGATATTAAGATCCATGCTGCTGTACTAGATTTTATTTTTATTCTATTTGTGTTAAGGAAAGATGTCTAGGTGACAGTATCAGAAAAGTCTAGACATGGCATGGACTATTTTTCCTCCTCTTCACACCAACCAATCTCCTGCCTCTGTTATGTCCAAATATGAAAAAATAATTACTTTCTTTGGAGGGCTTGAGATGATATTATCTGGAAAGTTGGAGAGTTGGGATAGACATATTTCTCTGTAGAGTTTGGGGGAGGAGGCTTCCCTTCTCCAGTGCTTGGCTTTTGTACAGGACATAAAGGAGGAGCAGAATATTCTACATCTGCTAGGACAGCCAACATCTTCCCTCCTCTTCTCTTCTGACAGCTCAGTTGCCTGCATCCAGTTTCTGATTCCCTGTAGCTGCCAGACTAATGCTTCAGGGACATGGACATTAGCAGAGAAAGATGTATTTCTTCTCCTACAGAGAAGGTACCCTCTTCTCTAGAAACCAGCAGGCTGTGGCTCTTTGTTCCAGGGTGTGGGAAGAGTGTAGGGACTGTCAGAGTTTACAAATGAGCATCATGGCAGAACAGGGCTCTGAGCCTGGTTTCTTCACATCCTACTTTGTTATTTGACTGCCTACTCCATCCTTCTCTGACTTGTGATCAGTCTAGAAGGGTTGGACTCATTTCCAACCCTTGCTTATGGAAGTTGAAGTTCAGCACATGTGAACACACCTGGTTGGGAAAGACTACCCTACTAAGACTGATTGCTAAGGCTTGGGAGGTGAGGATATCTCACTGATTCTTGGACCTGTGCAGACATATTCCTCTACATATATCATAATACAGTTCCAATGCAGTTTGCTTTTGTTTACTAGAACACTGCTTGGAGTGGGCTTGGAGTGCTTTTGAAGTTCTTGTGAGAGCTGCTTGATTGTACCCAGGAAAAGAAGTTAGACTTTGCAGACATACCTAGAACTGGTTTGGCCAATTCTGAGGGAAACAGAATATATTGAGCAATTCAGAATCTGGGAGGTGAGGGGCCAGTTGATTTGAATGGGCTTTTGCAACCCAGCATGGAAATGGCTTTGAGAATTGGAGATATATTCAGTCTGTCTGTCTTCTCCTCCTCCTTCTCCATGTGTCAAACTCCATTCCATGCCTCTTATGTTGTGTTTCTTCCCTCCCAGCCCCCTGCAGTGGCCGACGAAGACCTACAGCTCCAGCTAGCCCTTAGCTTGAGCAAAGAGGAGCACGACAAGGTTAGACTCCTATCATGCCACCCCCACTCAGTTCTTCCTGAAATAATCAACTAAACTACTTTCTCTGAGCCGGTCTCCACCTCTCACACTTTTCTAACTAACGTGGCATTCTCTGTCTCTCCAAGTCCCCATTCAAAGCAGAGCAGTGGCACAATCTCTCCATTTTCAGTTTTAGGCTCGTTAATTGTCCACTCCCTGGTTAATTGTCCATTCTCCAGTTGGCCAATTTCCAAGTTTCTCCCAGAGAGACGCTGGGAAATAAAACCAGTCAATCCAGGTGTCCTAAGCTTGACTGAGCTATGACTTTAAATGGTGCCTACTGAGGTATTATATGAATGTCTTCAAACATTTGGAGACAATATCCTGGAGGAAAATGAACTTACAAGTTGTTGATGCAGAAAAGAAGGGATCAGGCACTCAATTGGAAGGGAAGGCCACAATTTGGAACAAAGAGTAGGAACTCTTGATGTCTTTTCAGGTTGGAGATGACTTAGCTGAAGATGAGGTAGATGAAGGATAGCAGACTAGAGTTTGAAAAGACAAGAAAAAGAAAGCTTCAACGTGTTAACTCTTTGGATTTTACTGGAATCAGCCAGTAGATGGAAGATAAAATACTAGAAATTCAGCCAGGTTTCAGTCAGTAGAAATCCTAGAATGAGAGTTAACATTGATATTTGCTGGGCACCTTGAGGGTCATATACTTAGTTTTAGGGGTGAGATAATTGCAGTAAATAGAAAGAAGATGCTTTCCACTTGGGCTCCATTTTTATGAAGTATTGGCAAAAGCAGCCAAAAGTTAGGATTCCAAGGGTTCTCCCATTATTTGGCAGGAACTGGTTTGATGGAGGGTTAGAATAGCATCTGCTCACTCCTGTCTCTCAGATGTCTTTCTGAAGATAAGTTTTCATGCATGAGCAGAACAGAAACAACTGTAGCAGGTGCTTCAAACTTGATCTGGTCCCTGGCCAAGCTGCTGCTCCATCTATATTCTGGCTCTTGTTCTCTCCCTGCCAAAGGTGAGTAACCACCTATCACTTTCTACTGCCTCTGTTGACGCCTTTGTCCTTTCTACAATCCCCTTACAGGAAGAGCGGATCCGGCGCGGGGATGACCTACGCCTCCAGATGGCCATTGAAGAGAGCAAGAAGGAGACTGTGCCTGCTAAGGAGGAGGTGAGATGGAAGAAACAGGCTGGTAGCTGCCTGCCATGATAATTAAATAGGATCTCCCATGCAAAGGGATGATGTCTCTGAATGCCAGATGTGGGTGGGAGGAGGGCAGCCTCGAGGAGCAGATGATTCTCTTTGTGCCCCCATGGTGTCATCTCTCAGAGGCATCTGGCTGGCAGCTGCTGGAAAAAAGACGTTCAGATAGAAGACCCATGCTTTTCTCTAGCAAAACACTTCTTAGCAGTCTTGTGAAATAGTTGTTATTTTACGGACTTGATTTGTATCCCACCTTTCTGCCCAGGTGGGCACTCAAGACAACTAATATCACTTTGTATCTTCTTCCAAAGAACTCATACATAGAAGTTTTCACTTTTGCCTTTGCAAAAATCTCATGAGGTAGATTATGCCAAAAGTGAATATAAATCAAAATCTCTCCATAGATTTCTGGGTGATTTGCAGTTGATCAGCATGGGTGTTCTGTCTCCCCTTTATATAATAACATCAGCAGTGAAAGGACTTTTACAACTTAAATGACACTTCTGAAATAAAATAAAAAGAAAACCAGAAGTAGACTTTAGTGTAACAGGCCTGTTACTGAGAACAGGCTGCCAAGCTTTTGCAATTGATTCTGGCTCATGGTAAATGTTCAAGTAAATCTTCCAGATCAAAGCCCAGGAAAACAGATCTCTGTTGGTTGACCTTTTCTCTATTTCCCCTTTGTTCCTCATAATAGTCCCCCGTGGGGTTGTTAGGTCTACATTTAGGGTGGAGTGCAGATCTGTACCTTGGCCCACTAGTCCTAGTCCACCTTTCTAACACTGCATCCCAGTGGGATGCTCTAGAGCAGGGAAATGGAAAAAAACACTGGATGCTAAGTGGAACAGTGAAGGTGTGATATAATTTTTTTCTTTTCCACTACAATCTTTGCTGCATTCTCCATCACCCATGGCAGTCATCCTTGATGGATCTTGCTGATGTCTTTACTTCTCCACCTCCTGCTGATCCTTGGGGTGCTCATCCTGCTCCTGCTGACCCTTGGGGTGGCCCTGCCCCAGTTGTACCTGCAGCTCGCACTGACCCTTGGGGACCCCCTGCTGCTGGAGCAGCCTCTGCAGGAGATCCATGGGGAACTTCCGCAGCACCCCCTGCACCCCCCTCGGACCCCTGGGGAGCTCCCCCAGCTGTCAGTGCTGACCCCTGGAAGCCTGAAGGTAAGATCTGACTCTGGGCAGAATGAGATATTTAAAACATTCTTCATATATGATTACCGTTACTTTTTAATTATGTACTCATGTGGGATTCCTCTTCTGAAAAGTTCTTTTAAGAGCGGGGGGGGGGGCAATTTGGGGTCCTGTTGCATTTCACAACACCTATGGAGGAGGCTCTTTGTTAATAGCTCTCTCCTCTGCTGCAAACTGCTTGGTGGAGCGTAGAGATGCTGTGATAAAAAGAAAATGGGGATGTTAGAGACAAGGCGTTCCCATCCATTTTTGATTCTGTCACCACCCCCTGCTTGCTTCAGCCTTTCCCAGCATGCAGCTTCTCACAGATTACCTTCATGTGAATTAGCCCTTGACAGATTCAGAAAGGTTGCCTGTCCCTTTTCAGTCATGAAGAGTGTGAAAGAATGTTTCAACCAGGTCTGGTGCGTGCCAGGCTGGATGAGCCCTTATTTTATGCTGCCTTGAGTCCTAGGATGAAAGACATAGTGATCCCCAGAATTCCTCTTGGGCTCTACAACCATGGTGTCTCTGTGCCTCTCATTTTTAATGAAGAGGTTCTCTGTGGTTTGTCCTAAAAGCCAGGCAATTTCTCCCCTCTTTATCCATTGGAAGAGGCACCGTTTATGTGCCTTTTCAATAGCAGAGCAGTCCCTCCTTACAGAAGATCCAGATTCTATTCTCAGCTTTTCTGCAGAAAGGCTCTTGGCTGATAATTGATGTTTGCCCTTTTTGTGCCTGAAATACCCTTTTTAAGGTGAGTAACCAGAGCTATAGACCATGTGGTCCCACCATAGATTTGTGTAAAGGAATTATTAGATTGGCAATTCTAGTTTATCCTAATGATTCCAAGAATGGAATTTGCCTTCGTTAGAGTGGGTGCATGCTGGATTAATGTTTTTATCAAGGTGTCCTCTGGGACCTCGAGATCCCTTTCCTGGTCAGTCACTGCCATCTTTTGTGCCAACACACATCACTTTAATTTAATTACATTTAACTGCATTTGCTGTTTTGAAGTGTGTTTGTCTCCAAACTGGAAATTCTTTGAAAACTCTTGATTTAACACCAAACTCTGAACAGTTTGGGGTCACCAACAAACATGGTTACTTCAGTGCTCAGCCCTAGCTCCAGATCATTGAAATATCAATTAAAAAGCATTGGTCCCAGCACCAGTTCCTGGAGGACATATGCTTTGCATATCTTTGCACAATTGAGAATTGCCCATTTATTTTTACCACCTGTTTCCTATTTTTTTAACCAATTGCCAGTCCCTGAGTGTACCTGCACTCTTAACCAATGCTTTTTGAAAATCCAGGTACACAATATCTGTCGGGTACCTTGTCCGCATGCTTGTTCCCACCTTCAAAAACACTCCAGAAGGTTAGTGAGACCACTTACCTTTTGAAAGCCATGTTGTCTTATTTTCAGTTTCCCAACAGGCAGGTTGTTCTTGGATTCCATCTCTGACATGGTTAATTTTCTTCCCAGGTGGGACTTCTGTCGGAGCTACAACAGCACCACCCACAGACCCATGGTCATCCAGCACTGCTCCTACATCCCAGGGAAAGCCTGCTCCTGATCCCTGGGCTCCAGCATCCACTTTTTCAGACCCCTGGGGGGGCTCCCCTTCTAAGCCCAGCACCAATGGCATGGCAGGTAAGGGTGAAATGGGCACTGGGATTCTTGGGTTTGGGGACCAAGTGGAGGGAAGAAGGGAGGGGCCAGTATTTCTCACTGCATCTGATGAAGGGGAAGGACTCTTTTCCTGCTCCCAGTTAATCCTTCACCCCATCCTTCCTCTTCTGCCCTGTTCCCCTTCCAGCTGCCAGAGGCTTTGAGCAGTTTGATGATGGGGACAGGGATGAATTCTCTGATTTTGACAGCCTGCGCCCAGCACTGCCCAAATCTGGAAGCAGCACAGGTAGGCCTTGTTTTCTTCTTGCTTCAGCCCCTCCCTTTCCTAAGTGTGGTTCCTAATGCTCTAACCCAGTGTTTCTCAACCTTGGCAGCTTGAAGATGTGTGGTCTTCAACTCCCAGAATTCCCCAGCCAGTATTCTGGCTGGGGAATTCTGGAAGTTCATACATCTTCTAGTTGCCATGGTTGAGAAACACTGCTCTAACCTCCCTTCCCTCCAGTCTGTCCAGACTTGTGGTTTGTGGATTGGATGACTTCTAGCTCCTCTGGCATGGGAGAGAGTTTGTGCACTCCTCCCTTTGATTCTCTCTCCCCCTGTCTCCTCTAATCCTCTTTGGAAATTGGCACCCTGGTACATGTTCTTGCATGTAGTTTGAGGGGGTGTCCTTTAAAAAAAAATAAAATCGGGGGAAGTGAGGAGGGCTTATCTGTGGTTTTGCAAGATCTGTATTGAGAATGGGGGCAAAATGATTGTGGACAGCAACAAACCAAACACATTTGCTTGCATGCTCAATCAACTGCCCTGTCTACAATGGGGTCTGTGTTTTCTATCCATGTCCTCTGGGCCGCTGGATTTTCTTACTCCTCCTCTCTTTCTCTCTCTTTCTGACTTCTTGTATCACAGGTGAACTGTCCCTCTTAGCAGGGGAGGTCCCTGTTTGTCAGGCTGGCCGTGGCACAGACAGCCCCAGTGCTTTTGATATGGCTGCCGTGGCTGGGTCACTGCCAGAGACCTGCAAGCCGATGCGCAAGACTCCTGAGTCGTTCCTGGGTCCCAACGCAGCCCTCGTCGACCTAGACTCACTGGTTAGCAAACCTGCTGCTCCTTCCAGTAGCACCAAGGCTTCGAACCCCTTCCTTCCCCCTGGTAAGGGCTTGTATGCCTGGGGATGTCAGGGGGTTGGAGCAAACAAAGGGGTTCTTCCTCATTGCTGTGCTCAGGAAGAACCAAATCTGGTTTGGGATGTAGGAAGTCAGCTCCAGTACAGTTATTTCACTGAGGTAGAAATAGAAAGAAATCATCCTTGTTTTAAGCAGCTTTCCCATAATTTGACTGCCTGCCAAAAATGTTAATTAGCAAGCCCCCATTGTTCTCAGCTAGCGTGGGAATTATGGGATGTGATCGTCAAAAATATTTGTGAGTAGTGGTTCAGGTTTTGGCTGGGGAAACCAAGGTTCAAATTCCCACTTGACTTTAGGGCTTACTGGATGACCGAGTCAGTCATGATCTCAGTGCAGCCTACTTCATAGGGTTGTGGTTATAAAATGAGTGACTCCATGCATGTCATCTCAAGCTCCTAAAGGAAAGTTGGGAGATAAACATAAGAATGAAAGAGGGGTAGAGATTCCTTTATTTATCTGGATGGGTGCCAGTTGGGGGAAAGCTGCACGAAGGTGTTTTTTCACAGGTTTGCTGGCATGAAGCAGGGCCAGACTGGCAGGTGGAATCTTCTGGGTGCATTAAAGCAGTGTTCTCAGCCTTGGCAGCTCTAAGATGTGTGGACTTCAAACTCCCAGAATTCTGCCAGGGTTGAGAAACACTGCAATAGAGCCAGAGCTTCCAAGTAGCCAGACCTCTGGGGCCTGTAGGCCAGAAGGAGGCCTTCTGAGCTTCCCTGTAACAGTCTTTTCCTTTCTCTCTTCTTGCCTGTTGCAGGTTCAGCTCCTGCCCCATCTGCCTCGGCCACCAATCCATTCCAGGCGGCAGCAGCTGCCCCACTTTCTCTCAATCAGCTCCGTGTCAGTCCAGTACTTCCTTTGTCCCAGCCAGCGCCACCAGCATTTCCTGCCACAGCTCCTATGGTCTCCGTGTCCCCCATGGCTCCTGGGATGCCCTTAGCCTCAGTTTCCCCCATGGTGGGAGTGCAGCCCTTAGGGGCTGTTCCACCTCTGGGGCTTCCTGCTATGGGGCTGCCCCCTCAGAGCCTGCCCCCTGCCGGTGTAGTTCCCAGCAGCACTTCGGCCTCCACCCTGGGGAGCACCAACCCCTTTTTGCTATAACTGGGGGGACCTTTGGCCCGGTGTTGACCACCCCAACATCCCCTTTCACTCTGTGTTCCCCATTTGCAGTGGGGCCCCTCCGATGGCACCCGTTGAGCAGGGGCAGCTGGATTGGGGTGGGAGGGAGGTGGAAGGAAAGGGAGGGATCCAAGTCCTTGCAGGCCCTCCACCCCCATGTTGGGGGTCAGGCGAGACTTTCTGGCAACTGGTTTTGGGGTGGGCAAGCCCCCTTCTCCCCAGGCCTGCTCTTCAGGGTCCTGGAAGGATCTGTTTCTACTACCAAAGTCTAGTCAGCCGTGGTGGCCACACACAGTGACTAGTTTAATGGGGAGGAATATAGTCGCAGCAGTGGAACTGGGGGAAGGGGGGGCCCTTCCCTAAAAGTGATTTTTTGAACCCTCTCCCACTTTTATTTCTTTGGCATACCTATCCAGATTTGGGAGGTAATGGTGGATTTAGAATATTTATATCCCTGTTTATTTTGTTTGTTTGTTTTGGTTCATCAATCTCTGTCTTCCCCTTTGTGGAAGGATTGAAGAAAGGGAAAGTGCCAACTCCCTACCTCTGTGATGTTCCAAATGAAATTCTTTGGGGAAGGGAAGACACAACCTTTTAAATTAATGATTTTTTTCCCTAGATATTCCCCTTCCTTCCCTTCTGAATGTTTGTTGCATCCTCTTCAGCCTCCCTCTTCCCCCCCCCCCCAAGCTGGGACCAGTTTTTCTGTCTTTTGGGATTTTTTGCTCATGGGGAGGTAGGGTGGGGGTGAAATCAGTGAAGCTTTACTACATTAGGAACAGTTGACACCTTGGAATGTTTCTCTCTGTTCCTGGGGTCAACAGAGATGCCACTAACTTAATGTCAGAGACCAGAACTGGGTCCTGCTCCTAGGCCTCTACCCCTCGTCTACCTGCTTTCTGCAAACTTTGGATCCAGAAAGAATATCCTTTTGTAAGCAGTGCAGGACCTTGCCAATGCGTCAAGCGGTCAGTGGCGAGGAGAGCCTTGAAACACTCAATGCAACCTACTATGAAGGGGAATCTGGAAATCACTGAAGGCCAGGTGTTCTGGGTTGCTAGAAAGCCTTTAAAGGCAAAACTTCCCACATTGGACATGACTGGACTTGGAAGCCTTTCTCGGCCTGTGTCTTGGAAGCCCAGAAAGAGCTGAAGCCCCTGCTGGGTTTTGGAGCAGCAGGACCTAAAACTCTCTGTCCCATTCTGTGGGCAAAGGCCAACTGAAGCAAGGAGTCCGAGGAACCTACTGGAAACCACGGGGCTCAATGCTCAGAAGAGTTGGGAACGGGAATCCACACAACCTTGCTCTTCCTGCAGCTGTCCCAGTGACCTTCCAGACATGGCCTGCATTGCAGCGTCCTTCCGTGTCTTTCGGGGCTGGAAACACCGTGGCCCCCAAGGAAGGTGCCATTTCTCAGACGCACAGACAAACAAACCTGTTCTTCAACCAGCGCAACTCCGAAAGAGCCTCAAGTATTCTTTAGACTGGTGGGGGGAACAGAGGGAGGGATGGGGGATGTTGGGTGGTCACTTTTACCCCTTCTACAGCAGCAGCTTGTGGGGGAAGGGAGGCATGGCTGTGTGTGTTTGTGAGTGTGTGCGTATGTGTATGTGTTGCTGCTGTTATAAATTCCTATTTGATGCGGGGGGGGGGGCACTCATTAGCATCCAGGACAATCTGTTCAGTCTTTCTTCTCTCTCCCTCTTCCCTCCAAATAAATTCTTGGAATTGTTTTTCCTTTGCCCCCCTGCCCCCCCCCAAATCATGCTGGGGTTGATTCCCCCCCCCCCCTTTAACAATATTTTTAATTTTATTGCTTTTTTGGGGGGGGGGGGGGGGG